CTGACTGCAGATTCCGACACGAGGCATTAAAAAGTAATACTAACGCAGTTTCTGAACGAGACGTCCAGAATTAAGAAGGGGGCAGTGTAACGGAAACGCTCCAGACATGACGTCGCCTTTGGCGCTCTGGAATTTTCTACGCGCGCGATAGTGGGATTTGTATAGGAATATTCGAGACCTATCCGGTAATTACGCGAGTGTTCTGGACTTACATGGCTTGCGTGTATAAATGGTTGCGGACCGAACATCGCAGGGAGTTTACTACCGAACGAGATCGAGTACGGATGAAACATCGAGCGCGGAAATATAAATTGCGAAGTGTGTGATATAAATAGTCGATATAAATTGTACAGTTTTTATAGTGTTTTAGTTTTGTTTACTAAATATTGATATAAATCAAACCCGAATTTATAAATCACGTTACAATAGTATATACACAAGATGCACAAGATATTCCCTGTACATTATGGATTTAAAATGTATATACATAATATATCGAATGCTATGGGAGCCAAATTAGAAACTTCGGTGTTATTCTGAATGCTTTTAAAATAGTGCCTTCCACTAACCCATTTTAGAGAACCTTTCTCTGTACAGTTCCAAATTTTCTTGCTTGATGTTAGCGGACAGCAAGTCCAAAATAAATGAGTTTCCATTGTGACGTTTTAAATTAGTACACCCCTAAATAGTGCTGGTTAATTTAAACGCTAAATTTTGAAGTATTGAATGAGTTTGAGTAATATTATCTATCTATCTACCTTATTTCAACTGAGCCCATTTATAATGGGCCAAAGTCAAGTGATTTAATCTTTAAAGGCTACAGAAAATTGAATTGATTTACTAATTTGATTTTAACTTAAGATTTCGTCGCCACATCCTCTTGACACTCCAAATAATCAGCCTGACCAATTTGATTATGACTAATATAGCGAGAATCGTGGGGACGAGAATAGCAGCGAAAATGTCTAGAAGATAGTACTGATACCAAGGTATGTCCAGGTAGGGACTTCTTAGATGCGGGGCACCTTTGTGGCGCAAAACGTACTCGGTCCACCAGACCGCACGTTCCAAGCCGGTCGTTGGTTGATCCTCGCCCAAGTCGGCCAACTTCCTGATTCGATCCCTGTACCTAAGACACTGAGTTAGTAGAAAATTCGTGTCGCATAGTTACTTGGGATTTTGAATAACATCTAGTACAGCGCTTTGAAAGTCATCCACTGTCATCGTTTGGTAATCGACGTATCGAGCAAACCCCATGGCCACCATTCTCTTAACGTTCGACGGTTGATCGACGAAGAAGGGCATGCCGACCATAGGAACTCGCGCATGGATAGCCTCTTGCATCGAGTGTATTCCTCCATGAGTAATAAATAACCGAATGTTTCGATGTTCTGCAATTGATTGTAGTACTAAGTACATCTAAGGAGGTAGGCGTACTTAAAACTTCCATCTGGGACACCCATCGTGCAATTACAACGTTACTCGGCTTATTCGGTAGGTCATCAAGCTCGTACTTCCAAAGGATTTTAAACGGCAGCTTCCCGAAGGTTTCCAGGATAACCTTCATGGTGCTAGAAGGCAAGTCCTTTCCTTTAACATTGGAGCCTAAACTAAAATAGATGAACCCTTTGGATGCACCGTCCAAAAAATTCAGCAACTCCTGGAAACTCGTCGCTGTTACACACATTCAAAGTATGCCACCTACCTTGTCCAGAGGCTTCACAGGTACCCTAGCTAGAGTTCCTCCAATTGGTATGACGGACGGAAGTAGAGGACGCACGTAAGTAAAAACCGGATCAGAGTTCACGAATAGTAAGCTAACCTCCTGAAGAACGGTATCCGTGGGGGTTTTATCCCGAAAATGCTTCCACACCAGCTCCTCTTCGGAGGCGCTTACCTTTAGCGAGAGAATGTATACGAATACGTCGTAAAAAATCAACTGAACGCGCTCCAACAAATTCAATTCCCCATAGAATCCCGCGAACAGTTCAGGATACACAATCGAGTGCGCCGGTTGACCGATCGATCGGAAAAGATAATTGCTACCCTCAAAGGGTACCACCCCTATATAAGGACAGCGAAATCTTCGCGAGAAGTACGTCATGGACGGCATGATTAACTCGACGATTAATAAATCAAAGTGCTCGCTTGGATCGTCGATCAATCTCTTCACTTCGGGATGCTGCAGCTGGTGATCGTTTACAACCTGAAACACTTTTGCAGTTAGCTCTATCTCCGTAGCCACATTGCTGCTAGAATTGATGATCTCTAAAAGTTTATCCTCCAAAATCTTCACGGAGAAACCCAGGTCAATCTCGGTTAGGTTCGTTAGGGTTGGGTCGTTGATGGGGTGCGTTGTGAGTACCGTTACTTGATGTCCACGTAGAGACAGTTCCTTCCATAGCGGTTGGAAGATGACTTGGTGACTGTACGATGGAGTTGGAATCACGCCAAGTATTCGGGCACTTTTACACAAGTGCAGAACTGCTAAAATAACCGGGAGAACTATGTTCATTATCGTAGGGATTGGACTTGAATCAATCTTTGATACCTTTACCTTTATCTTGTCTAAACAAACATTTCCACGATCTAACCGTTCACAAATATAGATTATTAGTAACTATCAATACTTATCATCAACTCATGTACGTATTTCCGTAGCTGGTGTGGCGTAAACAAATCTCACTATAGAGACCAAGGACGTGGAATTGTGGGAAACACTTCAACCAAGTATTCCTGGAATCTTCTCGTTGAAGTTGGGCAATTATACATCTGTACAAGTATTTTTTCCAACTAAACTGAAGATCCAGAACAGATCGTTTGGAACTCACCTACCCAAAAGTAACAAAATTTGATTTGCTCCTTTTCTTCTCTTCTTCTGAGCGAATATAACAGAGACATTGTTTGAATTTGTTTTTTTGTCTAGGTTTTTAGGTGTGTCCTCTAATTCTGTAAAAAATGTTTTCCAAATTCCTGCCGCACTCTGGGGGTGCCAAAGGGTCCTGTTCTAAACACAACAAAGTGTTTGGAGAGGTTCTTCAACATGAAAATAAAGAATCAGAAGTAAGGTGTTTTTGGAAAATCCAAATCCAACTGCAATTCTGGGCCGTGCCACAAAATGGTCATCATTTCCTGGAATTTAGGGATACCAGAAAACGGTTTTTCTTTTCTCTGGGATCCACCTCACCTACTTCTCTTCTCTTTCTCCCTGTTCGAGCACATCACTCTTGCTCCCCCTTTCCGCTTCCCTGGATTCCCTCTACTGCCTCTTCACATGTCTCCACCTCTGTGTTCTCATTATCCCATCTGAACCCGACCATTATGTTAACATTTTCCTTCCCTCACATCAGTAAATTATAGTAGTAGTTTAGCCCTGATACCCATATATAATATCTTCTTTCTATTCCTTCCAGTTTCTTCCATTCATTCCAACTCCACATCTCCGTTTCGTACATAAGCATCCCTCTCACCATTGCATCGAACAGTCATTTTTGAAACTCCTCTCTTCTATTCCCCACACCATCGCCACTTCTCTCTTTTTTCTTAGTTCTCCACCTTCCTTCTCCTTCTTCCGGCTTTCCAAATCTCATTATCTTATATATTTAACTCCTTTAATTTCCTTTTTTTCCATTCCTTCCATCATTTTCTTTAGTCACGGCATTAGACATCAGACATCAGACATTAGACATCAGATATTAGACACGCATACATCATGATGTATTAAAGGATTCTTCACGTACTCTTTGCGTCTCTTCACTTCTATCTCTTGTTTAGTATTCCCTCGAACATTTTTCACGTCTCCTTTAAGCATGGTTTCCGATTCCTTCTGGTTTCCTTTACTCCCCCTTTTCACCTGTTCCGCACTTAGACAGCTACTTCTTCATGTTTCCCTTACTTGTTTCTGGTGCCTTACACTAATCTCTCTCTACACTGCTTGACATTATCGCTAACTTTTCTTCCTCCCGTTCTTCTTGGTTGCTTTGAACTCTCATACACCCACTTCACGTATCTCTCGCGTCTTTTTCGTTTTAGCATATTCACACCCCTTTCTCTCTCCTTCGTACTCATCTTTTCCTTACACCATTAGAGGTCTTTCTCGGACACTGATACTGATTTGTACTTTTTTTTTACTGCTCTCCTCGGCATCTTCGGAAACTTTTTGCGTTCTTATTTTCATGTTCTACGTCTGCACGCGCGCGATCGTGCCCGTGCGCTTGTGCGGCGGGAAGAGTGCAACAGGAAGGGTACAGAAGGAAAACCGCAACAGGAGTAGTTCAGCAGTAGGAGTGCAGGAGGAAGAGTGCAGCAGGAAAAGTGCAGCATGGCGAGTACAGCAGGAAAAGTCCAGCAGAAAGAGTGCAGAAGAAAAGAGCAGCAAACAGAGTGCAGTAACAAAGGTTCGGCAGGAAGAGTGGCGTGGAAAGATTGCAGAAGGATGAGGGCATCAGGAAGAGGGCAGCAGGAAAGGTGCCGCAGGAAGAGTGCAGCTGAAAGAGTGCAGCAGGGAGAATGTAGCAGCAATAGTTCAGCAGGACGAGTGCTGCGGAAAGAGTGCAGATAGAAGAATGCTGCAGGAAGAGTGAGGGCAGGAAGGGTGCAGCGTGAAGAGTGCATGAGGATGAGTGCAGAAGGAAAAGTGAAGCAGGAAGAGAGAAGCAGAAAGAGTTCAGCAGAAAAGGTACTGCAGGAAGAGTGCAGCGGGAACCGTGCAGATGGAAGAGTGCAGCAGGAGGAGGGCAAGAAGAAAAGAGTCCCAGGAGTAGTGCAGCAGGGAGAGTGCAGTTGGAAGAGTGCGGCAGGGAGAGTGCAGCTGAAAGAGTGGAGCAGGGAGAGTGTAGCAGGAGGAGTGTAGCGGCAAGAGTTCAGTAGGAAGAGTGCTGCGGAAAGAGTGCAGATAGAAGAGTGCAGCAGGAAAGGTGAAGGCAGGAAGAGTGCAGCAGGAAGAATGCGGCAGGAAGGGTGCAGCAGAAAAAGTGCAGATGGAAAACTGCAGAGGGAAGAGTGCAGCATGAAGAGTGAAGCAGAAAGGGCTCAGCAGGGATCATAACCTTCCACTCATTTTTGGTTGGTCTGCGGACTAGGGCACAGACTATCTTACCTGAGAAAATCAGAAGCGTAGAAACCGCTCTAGTTGGCGCCCAAAAAAGGAAAATTGAACGGTTAGGTTCGATAGTTATTTTGCAACTACCCTTTCTCTGTTTGACTGCGCCGTTAAGAGAAGGTTTAGAAAGAGCTTAAGGTCAATTTCAATTTGAATCCAAAAGGTATACAAAGGGTCTTAAACAATTACCCCTAATTTAACGGATAATAATGATTATAATTTAATCTACAAGGAAAACAAATACATTTAGAAATTATAGTCACTGAATCAGTTGTGTGGACGAAAGTAGTCCCAGTCGGCGGCAATCTAGGTATTTTGTCGGTGAAACGGACAGATGGGCGGACAGACGGTCGAACTCGAGCGCCGCCAAGAGTGTGCCCTCGTCTTCTAAATGGCAGGAGCTTTTGGATGCAACGACAATTGAAATAAGTTGACGGGAACGGTTACAATCGGCTAACTAATTGCAGCGGCGGCTCAAACACAACTCCAGAAAGTTCATTCGACATGGCACTTTTCCATACTGAATTCATCTACAGAGTGCTCACTAAAACAGGTAAACGCCAAGGCCGAAAACGGGGCACAGTTACAACTGAAGTATCAAAGCAAATGGATTATGCAGCTAATTCCATACAGTTTGAGGAAAAGTTTAAGAGGGGGGCTGGCTACATTTTTTCTATTTTAAGCGATGGGTTCATTAGAGAGCTGGTTACTTTATTTTTTTAAGTCTATGTATTTAAGTCAATGGTTGCCGGATACAGTCGTGACCAATTATTTGCATGGGACCAGTCTGGCGGGAGATAACGCAAAATTAACGGCTTTTACGTGGCCAAACGGCTCGTTTAGATTTGTTCGTTATCAGATCATTAAGCGTCTTAGGAACCGCAGGGTTTTTAAAGTACATGAAAGTTTCAGGACGCAATCAAAGGTATTTTAAAGAAGGCTTATTCTGTACATTTTAGATTTTTGTTATTTTCGAACTCTTTCCAAAAATGTATCGCAGACTTACCGAAACAATTTTAACGGTAACAAAAATACCAAACGACACACCTAAGAAAACTGTACCAAAAACATCTACAAGATAGTACTGATACCAAGGTATGTCCAAATAAGGACTTCTAAAGTGCGGTGCCCCTTTATGGCGCAAAACGTACTCAGTCCACCACATCGCACGTTCTAAACCGGTCGTAGGCTGATCTTCCGCTAAATCGGCCAGCTCCTCAATCCGATTTCTATACCTAATTTTAACAATCACTTGTAAACCCAGCCTTCTCCATAACTGCTTACCTTGGGTTGTCAATGACCTCCAATATAGAACTTTCCAATTCTTCCACAGTCATTGTTTTATAATCGACGGACAGAGCAACTCCCAGATGGGTCATTTTCTTAACGTTAAACGGTTGGTCGACAAAGAAGGGCATGCCGACCATGGGAACTCGGGAAAAAATGGCCTCTTGCATTGAGTGGACTCCACCATGCGTTATGAACGTCTTAATGTTGCGGTGTCCTGTGCACGTGAAAATTACCGAGGTTAAGGAGTAGAACACTTACCTAAAACCTCCATCTGGGACACCCACTGCGAAATAAAAACGTTTGTCGGTAGATTCGGTAGATCACTAAGCTCATACTTCCAGAGCACTTTGTACGGAAGTCTCCGAAACGTTGCAAGAATTACGTCCATTGAGCGAGCCGGTATGTCCTTGCTCTTAACATTGGAGCCTAAGCTGAAGTAGACGAAACCTTGGGAGGCGCCGTCGAGGAATTCCCTGACATTCTAAAAATTTGTCAAAACCACTCACGCTTCAACCGTTCCAGATTTACCTTTTCCAGCGGCTTTGTGGGTATCCTAGCCAAAGTGCCCCCAATTGAGATCACCGATGGAAGAAGAGGTCTGTTGTAGTGAAGAACAGGATCAGAATTAACGAACAGTAGACTAATTTCGGCCCTAATCGTTTCAACAGGGGTGGTGTCACGAAAATGATTCCACGCCATCTCCTGTTCCCAACCACGTACCATCGGCGCGATACAAACCATGAATAGCTCAAATAAAATCAGTTGGACGCGTTCCAACAAACTCGTCTCCCCGTGTATTCCCATCAGCATATCGGGGTACAAGGTTGGATGGGCGGCGGGGTGACCGAATGATCGGTAGTTAATGTTGCTGGAATCGAGTGGCAGCAGACCGATATAAGGGCAGCGGAAGCGTTTTGAGAAGTAAAACATCGGCGACAAGATGTACTCGACGATCAAAAGGTCGAAGTGCTGGTCTTCGTCGTCGATGAGGCTCCTCACCTCGGGATGTTGCAGTTGGAAGTCGTTAACGTCGTGAAATGTCTTTATTGTCAACTGCATCACCTTTAGGACGTTTTGGCTGGAGTTGATGATTTCCAAGAGTTTGTCGTCCAAAATTTTGAAAGACGAGCTCAGGTCGATCTCGGTTAGATTCGTTAGGGTTGGGTCGTTGATCGGGTTCGTCGTGAGCACCGTCACCTGATGACCGCGTAGCGATAGTTCCCTCCATAGTGGTTGAAACAAAACCTGGTGGCTGTACGATGGGGTGGGAATCGCTCCCAAAATTCGGGCACTTTCACTTACACGTGTAACTGATAGTATCAGTGCGATAAGCTTGGCTGCTTCCATTACTACTGTATCATCGGGTTCACACAACTACAATGATGAAATCCATGCTGGGAAGGTCGATTTTCTTCCACACGCAACACGGAACTAGTCGATCTGTTTTTCTTTATTACTAAATGCATATCTCGCATTGCCCAACTCATTCACTAAAGCCACTTATCGTTTGTGATCATTGCTTCAGAGCTGCGTTAATTATAGCAGCTGGCAAACACTCGTCACTCGGTGACCTTTGTATATTTTTATGCCATCCACTAACAGAATTTGTACAACGAGCGACCTTCACTTTGCGTCATACAATGAGATTTCTGTGATCTCTAATAAACCTTCTTGTATCTTACTATTTACGTTAAAAATTCTTGATTTTTTTATGGAGACCATTCAGTACCTCAATTAGTCTACCATCCATATTTCGGTTGAATTTTTGTAGAATTACCGTTTTGGATATTTCCGCGTCTGCTCCTCCTATTGAAAACTTAAATGACAAAATATGAACCCGAAAACAATTGAACATTTGAAATATGGATATAATGTGACTCAGTTAGAAGACTTCTGTATTTAATATTGAACTTAAAAAAAATAGATTGGCTTCTTCTAACACGAATTTTATTTACAGTGGGAAACATTTTACTGATGAAGGAAACGATCTGTATTCAGTACAAACATTACCTTATTTATAGAACATCTAAACTATCCTCTAGTCGTCCAACCTTGCAAAAAACTGAATTTCACCCTAATTTCGATTAAGGAAATAGAAAGTTACTTGTTAAATTAAATGCTCATGGCGGATGATGGCCTTCTCTGTTGGCAAACTCTAACAGAATCTACGACGTTGTATACCCCAATGACTGTGTTAATTAGAAAAGTATTCATTGCACACCGATTCAACGGACGTAGGTCGATTTATATCACGTTTTCTTCTTGCTCAACCTCAAACACATATCCCAATTTTATTGACACCTTGTGAAAATCTTCTAGTCACCTCACTTTCTCAGACACACAACTTGACTTTTTTCATTCTACCCGTGCAAAACCGAAAAACGTAACTTTCTGCTCTATGGTGAATTTTGAAGCACGACATAGGCCCTCCTAAAAACAAATGCCGACCTGAGCTCTCTGACGGCTCAAAACCGAATGCCTTAATTCCCGATTCTCTTGACCCATCTTTACTCTTTTCAACTGAAGACCAACGTGATGGAGTTAAATGGCCATCTTTAATCATTAGCTCGTTGAATTCGTTTAACCCCACGAACTATGCGCCCACTGGTGGCATTCATTCACGTAAACCAGGGACCTATGGATTTTTAGAAATGTAGAATTGATGCAATTTTGTTCAAAACTGTCCCTTTAATTGTCACACCCTGTATACTCCCTCATATTCTGATGAAAACCAAAATTTAAACTCAGAAATTACTGTTAGAATTGTAGTCTAATGTCCTTTGGAAATTTCAAATTCAATTTTCACTTTTCACAGTATGTGGTCGGAGAAATTGAAGATGGTGTCAATCGGAATGAAATCCGAATTGGACAGCAATGAATAAGAAATGGTGCACCTGAAAGAAAGATTGGAAGGATGCGAGAACTGGACCTACCATAATATATCGAACTGGCAACGTGTTGCATCCCAATAAATTTGAAGGTAATCTGGGAACAATAGATCCAGTGAGCTTTATCGACATTAATTGTAAAATTTTGACCCCAAGGATCAATGAAAATTAAAGTGAGCAAAGAAAATGTTGGAAGAGATCACCACAATCTGGCGCGAGTTGAATAGGGTGAAATACGTGGGGGAATTAAAACAAACAATACCGGCGAGAGGGCGCGCAAAGGACGGTTCGTTTTAGGTTAGCCATACCAAGACTTTATGAACCACACTTTCAAAAATATACTGAAAACCCATCTATATCCCCCAATTCGACAGGAACAATAGTAGGGTGTAACATGTGGTCGCTTTAGCTGTAGAAGATCTTGGTTTTGATTCCACAAAATTGCCAGTACAAGAAATCTTACGTGAACCGCTTCGTAATGAAAGGGTACGCGAAAAAATAAAGCGCGTTAAGATCAGAAACGAGTGTGCAACAGTGTTGCCGGTTCTAAAAACAGTCGTAATAGAGCATGAGGGACGACGTTTCTGCTATACCTTCACTTGCATAAAAAAACATAGTAAACATAAGTAAAAATTCGGTGGGAGAGAGGCATTCTTGGCCAAACTTTCGGGATCGTCGATCGTTTTGGGAACTTTGTGCAAAAGATTTATGCTGAAAGTCAATTTCGAATTCCTGAAGAAGTCGACCCACGGGAATTTAGTCCGTTGTATGCTTTAATGAACGATATACAAACCCAAACTTGGTGATTTTTTCCTCATTAATTGTGAAGTTGAATTTAAAGCTGATTGATACCATTCTTTTATGTGGGTTAAAAGTTTATGTAGCATCCAGAGTTGTGTAACTTGTTTTGAAATAAGAAAATCTACCGGATGTTGGAATAGTAATACTTTAGATTACGAAAAATGTAAAGAAAGGTGGAGTACGATTTTATTTGTACCAATATATGCAAACAAGGCATTTATTTGGGAGTGATCAAAACAGAGCATCGGGTTTTAATTTTCAGATCGTATCGTCTCGTAGGGGTGACACCCCCTAGGTACAGATGTTCTTAAGTCACATCAGCAGCCGGCTGTGTAACCTAAACAGACAGTTAAGGGACCGCCAACTTTACATGCCCTCCGAAGGGTAAGAATCATTAAAAGTTTATTCATTACTGAGCTAGCCGTGGTATTAATAGTTTCATTGCAAGAAATTAATTTTTACAATAAACATTTTGCCAGTGCCGTAGAAATTAAAATTCATTTTCCACGAGTGGGGTTTCCAACCCCCGTAAATGTAACTAAGCCGTTACAAGAGGCGATAACCTGTCTTTTTATTGGATAGGTAAAGTTGTTTTTCAAACCTCATTAGGTTTTTGACTTGAAAAATTAGTTGGGGGTACTGTAACGGGAGCTTGTAAATTTGTTGTAATTTTGTAAATGTGTCAAATTGCACATCTACCGCTTTATATGAAAAGTAAGCGAGAGTAGATTTAATGGCGAGTACAGGACGCTAAAAGTGGGTGGGTGCCACGATAGTGGAGAGGGCTCGTGAAGTTTGCATTAAATCCGTTTCAGTTTTTCTGGACAGCTATACGTAACATAAAAATGATGTTCGAGATTAGTGGAAAACCGTTACGGAACCCAATGCGAACTGTAAACCCTTTCCGCATAAGTAGCGAAGTAAAAAAGCAAAACGAGGACAGATAATAAGCACTCGCCATAGCCTGTAGGTTGTCCCTTAAGTTTTGAGACTAGGACCTTACTAGAGGTACAGATTTTTCTACATGGTTGAATCGTGTAGTTCATAACTTTGCAAGTACATATTTAATTCATTATGCAACAAATTCACAACTTGACATCAGGAAAGATGAAACCTCATATAGATCCAGTAAGGCAAATTCATTTACATATTGCGGACCATTGCCCTTTCTTGTGCTACGAACTTCGAGCTAGGAGGCCCCCACCTTCAGACAATTTCTGTGGGATCGACGCAACCTCAGGAGAAGAATGTTTAGAGGTATTGTAAAACGTTTGGTTACTGTATTGTTTTTTAATCGCTTAGAAGTAAGTGCATTAAATTAAAACAGTTTGCCTGAAGTCCTCAATTTAGTTGGAGTGATTAATAGATTAAGAAAAATAAGTGGAAGACAGGTGTGTATTTTACACGTATCTGAATATTCGCTAACCGATTTTAAAAGATATTTTCACAGCTTGAGGGTGTAAAATGGTATTATCCTCGCACGCTATGGAGAAAGCTAATGAAACGAAAACCTCTTTTCGGCACCCCTTAAGTTATCTAAATATTGTATAAGTTGTATTTAGTTGAATAGTCGCGTAAAAGCCGCAGGGAAAATTTCTACGCCACTTCGCCCTTCATGTAGTTAGCTGAATTTCCCGTCTGCTAAAGTAAACCCGCATGTAAAAGCCATGTGACAACTGCGGGATGTTCGTCTGTTGATTTTCCTTACTATGTACTCTCATTTCCACCCCAAGAAAATGCGATAACAAAGTAAGCGAAATTTCATTTGATGTTTGCTCGGTTTAAAAGGAAAGTTTAATGGTTGCGGCCAAATAAATTTTTGATTTTATGATGAAAAGAAAATTTCGGCAATAACTTGGTTAGTTCAGTGTAAATTGCCTTCCCAGCTGTTAAGGCATCCACCGCAATCAAATGAATGTCAATTTGTAGGAAGAGCGAAGATCTAGGAAAGTTTTAAAACAAGTTTAGAGAAGTAGTGGCAACGATGCCATCTGGGAGTAGCGTTAATGAAACTTCTCGAATATCGATTCCCCTCTATAAGTTTTTAGATCACTTTTAGTTTTCGGAAACATTTTTCAGTGTCACTTAACATTTCATTATCGCTAATATTGAAAGATTTATGTCATCTTTTTTTTTCCGTTCCAGATTGTTGTGACGTCCTCCTAAATTCACGAAATTTTTATAATTGAATAATCAATTTAAATTAAGCTCGCATCTCAAAATTGTTGCTTTAATAAATTTTCGATTGTGCTCAAAACTAGAGTACTTAATTCTCAGAGTAAAGCCTCCAATACCTGCCATTATGCTCTCAAAACATGAATTCTTGTAGTAAAGACAAGGCTATCGCATATTGTAAAACTCAGATGTGCACATGCGCAAACTGCGCAATGTCAATTTATGGAGATATTTTTTCTTCTAGTAGTAAAGGCAAACATATCGCATATTTTAAACATCAGGTGTGCGCATGCGCAGACTGCGCCAATGCTAAGTTGCTTATTTATAAGAATATAAGTAGGTATATGGTTTGCAGTATCTATAAAAACCCTTGAAATTTTGGTGTCCTCGATTTTGGTAAAAAAGGAAGGTTATACACTGCCTTTTTTTGAGGCGCGAAAAAAAAATTGTCTCAGATCCACCGGGAAAAAACATTTTCTTATAGAATGTGGCCTGCAGAATCCATAATTTCAAACAGTTCCAAGATCGTGCTACTAGATCAAAAGTTACAGCCCTTTGAATTTTTTGTCGAAATTGGTTTTTTGCCCATAACTTTTGATTGAGACGTCTAATCGAAAAAGTACGAATCGGTTTGGATTCTACGCAACAAA